ATATATAGGCTACGAGAGTAAATATTGTGATTTCAGAGAGATTTGACACGTCTATTTGAACTTCAAATAGAAATTTGAAACTTCAAATTGAAGACAACATGACGTTTTTGTTTACTGACCAAAAGAGAGAAGCTAATAATGTTATCCTAGTTAAAGTCAAATAAATGTTATAAATTTTTAATGTCTGTAAAAATAAAATTCACATTTAAGTAAATTATTTGGTGCTTAAGAAATGTCAAATCTGGGTTATGATAGGCCTACAAGTCACAAAATCTTACATAGGCCTATTAATGGATAAATTCAAGCTCATTTAATCCTCCCTATTATGGTTAAATGTGCTCGGATTATTTTTATTGATTAACGTTAAACAAGTTTAAAACCATTATTATTGATGTCCATCCGTCCGTCATGCGGGACGCGGGAGAGCTGGATGATTACTGACGTAGGCCTACAGCAGGGTGAGTGATATCGGAGTAAAGAGGTTAGGAGAACGTTCTGGGAACCTTCCCTGTTGGTTGGTCAGGAAAGTTTTCTTAACGTAGGCCTAATTAAAACGTTTGGGGAACGTTCCCGGGATGTTCCCAGAACGTTCCCCTAGCCTAAAGGGAACATTCTCTTTACGTTAAGAAAACTTTACTGGCTAACCACCAGGGAACGTTCCCAGAACGTTCCGGGAACCAAAAATGGTTAGCTGGTATATAGGCGGTGGGAATACGGAGACTCTACACCTGTGTAGCGCGGTGAGCAGGTGGATCCACAAAGGTCAAAGCGTTGTTTAGTTTACCCAGAAATGTGTCCGGCCCCTTGTCACTTTCAAAATGCTCAGCAAGGGGTTTTCCTTTGTATTTCACACGCCAAGAAATAAAAAGTTCCCAAAACAGTTGTTGTTAAACGTCTTAAGTCTGTTAAATATTACGCGACCGAACTAAATGAATATAGCAAAATTCTCAAGATAATGTTGCTGAAAACAAATGGCATGACTGTTCTTATTGAACAACAGTTAAATGATCACTGACATTCATAATTGTTAAATCTGGGGTAAGGTCTCTTTTACTGTTATTTTTATTTATTTATTCATTTTTGTATAGACCTATAGCAAATAGGCCTATCCAAGGCTCGCTATTAGGCATAAAGCAGGATGCGTTGTAACCTTGCACTCGTTAAAGAGTCAACTCTTTCCCACCAGTCGTCCTAGAAATAGACCCCTCATTAAAACCCGTTGAATCTGAACAATTTCACAGTATCTCTAGTGCAAAACAAATAACATCTAACTGCTCCACGTGCGCGATCGTAATCCCCAAGACAGATGCAAAGAAACACGTTTATTTAGAGATATGACCACCGTTACTGTAGATGCGAAATTTTGCAGCCATTAGCAAACGCAGTCGTATCATGTAATTTATTCCTGTAAACGCCATCTAGTGATAGACTTAAGACATCATCATCATCATCATCTGATGTGCAGTAGGCTAATTATAGAGAATGTATAGGCGATCATATGTTTTAGTTATTGTGTATGTCTGTGTGATTTATTTTCTTAATCATCTTCTCGGTGTATTTTCACAAACGTCTTTTCGGATGTTGGGCTTTTAAAATGTTTTATTAAGCCCATATGCCTCATGTTATAATTATTAGTATTTTTGAATGTCCAATTTTCGGTTTCGAATTTGAATCTGAATTAGCTGAGATAGCTTTTACATACCCTATGAGTGCGATTACAAATGCGTTAGTTGAGAGAACAACACCTACACCACCTAATTTGGGCTAATTTGAATAAGGCTTTATTTTTAACAGCAACATGCAGCAATAAATGACTGAATGTGCTGTCGAAGCCCACTGTGACAGAAGGCATCAGAACAATGTGCTTACAAACGTTTACTTTAAGGAATACGGAGACAGTTGTGGAAGGCCCTCTTAGTGCCTTTCAGAAGGTCAGTCTCAGCAGCGTCTTTAGCCTGAAAGTGAATTCAAGAAGCGGCTCCTTTTCTTTTCCCATGGGTATAACTTAAATATAGCCCTAACTCTTGTGCGCCACACACCATCTACCATTTGCTGTTTGAGTAGAACTGATTAGCTAGACACAACTGTGAAAGTGTTGCTTTAATAAGAACAACTTCCCAAACATTTTTAGGTCGCACTACATTAATTGATTACGCATTAATGGCGTAAATGGATACGGCAGCTTCTCGACGGCTATTGAAATTTTTTTATTTGGAAAGAATGTTGATATTTTTGTAACCTACATTGTCGAAAATGTAGGATTAAGTAAGCTTAGTTTAATTTGTAATTAATATTCTGATTTTGGTAATGGTTAGAATAGCTATTTGTCTTTAATGCAAGTTTAAGGACGGCTGACTGAAACCGTTTGTGATGGTTGTTTTGCAACCTGAAACTGAGATGCTGGTCTGATGAAATTATTGCCTAAAGTTGTATTCACAAAGAGATAAAAGAACATTTTCGTATGTATTGTGTTTTTATAACCTAAAGAGAACCTAAAATGTCCTGTTATTAATTCTAAAAAAAGACCGCTGAAATAATAGACCTTTTCAAAATGCCTTAATCGCAAATTAACTGTCTCAAAATATAATCA